AGGGTTACTTTCTGCGAATTTCTGTGGGCAGGATGTATTTGATATTATATGCCCTTTGCCCCAAGATTCCAAGCTTTAGTGATTTTCCCCAGGCACTCACAGGTGAGTGCTTAGGATATTCAAGTATAATTTAGCAGATGCACTACATTATCCACAATGATGTAGAATCACCAAGAAATTATGTGGTCATAGTTTATATTTATGTGGTTATTGTAGAAGATTTAGCCTAATACAGCCAGATTTAAAGCATTTTAGGAATAGGAGCTTATTTGTTCTTTGAGATATTTAAAAATGCATTTTTACCAATTTGGGTGTAAAAATCACACTTTACCTGTTTTAAAGCAGTATTTTCCGGCTGGTGGTGAATGGTATTGAGAAAAAGGTGCAAAATACATCAAGAAAATAAACACTGCAAAGCCTATGAATAAAATTATACCTTTCCCTCTTTTATTTTACTTCTATTATAGGTTTAAAATATATATATATTGATTGATTTCAGAGAGGAAGGGAGAGGGAGAGAGATAGAAACATCCATAATAAGAGAGAACCATGGACCAGCTGCCTCCTGTACAACCCCCACTAGGGATCAAGCCCACATACTGGGGATCGAGCCCACATCCCGGGCATATTTCCTGACCGGGAATCAAACCTGTGACCTCCTGGTTCATAGGTCGATGCTCAACCACTGAGCCACGCTGGCTGGGCTCTATTATAGGTTTTATATTGAGGACTCATTTATAGGGCTCATTCTGTTTTGGAGACTGTCTCTAATTTGTATATCATAATATATACATCAAGGCTTCCTGTCACATACTGTTTAAATATCAGTGAGTCACTTTTTCTTTTTGGTTTTCTGGTATGTTGCATGGCTCTATGGTGGGAGTAAAAAAATATAGTGCTTTTAAGGATTGTAGCATTTATGTTTCAGGTAGTCAGGCATTTTTCATGAAATAACTAATATTATTAGGCAGTTTTGGTGAATACCTACTGAATAATGTGTAAAATTGGTAGTTTAAGAGTTCAGAAAAGGGGACCACTGGCTTAGAGTAGCCTGGGAAGGACTTGTTGAAGAGAAACAGTGGAATTGTTTTTGGATGGATTTGTTAGGACTTATTTAGGAGAGAGGCTAATCTAGGTTAGGAATTCTGGAATGGAAGGCCCAGGCATGTTCAGGGAAGAGCAAAGTGGGTGATTTTTTTCTTTTTTTGTTGTTAATCCTTACCCGAGGATATTTTTCCATTGATTTTTAGAGAGAGTGGAAAGGAGGAGGAGAGACAGAGAGAGAGAGAAACAGTAATATGAGAGAGACACATCAATTGGTTGCCGAATAGGGCTAAAGTGGGTGATTTTGACCAGTGTTGGGTTCACTGTGAGGAGAATAAGATACTATTGGAAATACATATTGAGATCAGATGTTTGTACATTGTGAGATGAGTAGCCTTATGATAATAGCAGCAAGTGTTTGATCGTGTCTGGAAAAGACTAGAAGAGTAAGAGGTGAGAGGCAGAAATTTAAATAGGAAAAACTGAGTTGAACTAAGTTGGTTGCTATCAGAATGGACAGGAAGGGACAAAATAATAGTTCATAAAGAGTGATTGGAGACTAACTCTCTTATGGATACAAAGGATAAAGGAATATCAAAAGATGGTTCTGAAGTTTTAAATCTGGAGCACAGTGAGAATAAAAGACTACAAGCAAACAAAAAGACAGAAGGAATTAACGATTTTTTGGGGGGAGGATGATTTAGGTTTCAGAATTTAGGGTTGATTTTATCAGTAAGTATGTCAGTGAAATATATGATTCCAAATCAGGGACTGGAGCTTGTGAGAGAAATCAGGAGTAAACTACATCAAGGTAAAGGAAATAAATATGTGTGAAGGCTATTTCTAAAGTTGGAACCTAAATACAAAAGGGAAACAAGATTATAAGCTAGGGGTGGGCAACCTTTTTGTGAGTGTGTGCCAAAACCAGCAAAATCTCTGACTCAAAATTCTTCTGCGTGCCAACCCTAATTTTTTGAGAACATGTTACGCCTATTTGATATCTCTTAAGGTGTACGTATGTGAAGAACCTTGAAGAAATAATGAAATTCATTTGAGCGACAAAAACACAGTATATGATGATGAAAAATACATTTATTTTTTAATGTATACATGTACACTGATAGTCCGACAGAAAACTTTATGACTCTGTTTGATATTATCAGTGGGACTTTTGCTGCTGCATCACTGATGACAGAGATTTTACATCAGGTTTATATTTCGTGACCTTCAGAGATATGCATGAGCTACTACTTTCATCCGTCAGGCTACTCCTATTACGAGACTTAACAAAATTCATCACTGAGAACAAAGATTCACAATTGTAAATGGAAGATTATACGAGAGGGTTTCACGTGCCAGCAAAAGTTACTGGCGTGCCATGTTTGGCACTCGTGCCAGGGGTTGCCCACCCCTGTTATAGGTAGATCATGGGGCCCAAAGTAAGATTTTTGTTGAGAAGGTAGAAGTATTACATATTTATAGATACAGAGAAGCCAGTGGCTGGAAGTAGACTAACATTGTTGAGAAGTAATAAATTGGGGAATTGTTGATGTGGAGAAAAAGAGCAGTAATCTTAAAATATTAGGGTTTTAAGGATGCTGGCCAGTTAGATTCTGGTTAGTCAGTATTTTATTGCACAAGGCCACTCAATGAATTCTAGGACAAGTAAGTACCTCAGAAGAATTACTTGGTCAGTGTATTTCATACTTTGGTAGAAACATCCTTCTGTCATATTGGTGTTAAAACCAGACATCTTCCTATGTTATATCAGTTTGATATTCTCTTCTGGTTTACCAGCCTTCTTTTAATCACAGATTCCTGCAAACGTTATTGGTGTCAGTGTCAAATCTAAAAATTGAGTCCCTCAGTTGAGTTACTAACGTAGAGACCCAATTCAGTACTCCCTGACAATTGGGCAGTTTGAGTGATGTATTAACAGAGATGGTATTTGTCATTATCTTACTTTATCATCATGTTGAGTAATATTCCAGTGGCCTCGTAAATAAATAAAAAAACATTGACCAATCTGTTAACATATTTTATACTTTCCCAGTATAAATTTTTATTTTGCAGAATATGAAATAAAGCCCATTTACTGCCACTTACAGCCATTCTTATTGACAGTTTTTATGCTTTTAGTGAGAATAACGTGTCATGGGGAAGAGAGCACGGGCTCTGGAGTCCACTAGGCCAGCTTGCTGTACTTACAAGACGTAGGCTTGTTTCATTTGTTCCTTCAGACTATTTCTCAGAGTAGTTTAAGGTTCACAGCAAAATTGAGGGGAGTGTACAGAGATTTCCCAATAACCTTATCCCTCCCAGGCATGTAGGCTAGTTTCTAAATACCACTGATACTCACTTTCTTCCTCTCTAAAATGCAGGTAGTAACTCCTCCACCTCATAGGTTTTAGGGTGGAGAAGGATCCTGTTTTTAAAGTGTCTGATATTTAATAAGTACTCAGTGGTGGATGTGTTCTCCTATTAGAGACATAATGGCTTTAAAACTTACTTGGGGCAGCATTATGTTTATGGAGTGCTTTCTAAATGTTTTTTATGATAATGCTTAATATGGTCCTCAGACTTTCACTGAATGAATGAGTGAATGTAAATATGCCTGTAGGAATAAATAGTTACACGGCAGCCCGGAGTCTCTGAAAAGTGTTTACTTCAGTCTTGGGTAGAATTGCTTCCCTATATGTCTATAGGACTTGGGTATCTGAAGGATTTAAATGTGGTGATTATGGAAATGAGTTGATGTGCTTAGTCCAGGGTAGTTATTCTGTTTCCTTTCGCAATAGTGGGGACTTCTGGGAACAGTGGTCTTACAAACTGTGGAGCAGTTGATTCTAGCCCAGGCCCCCACCTCTGAGACTCTATAGTGGATTCATTTTATAAGAGGACCCACTGACAGTAGTGATCAAAAGCTGTTTTTTGTTTATTAGCTGCTTTGAAGCTCTTAAGATGAGTAGTGGCCCTAGAAATTACTCATCGGCCAGGACCCTCCACCTGCTATGGCCTGTGGCACCTCTGAGCAGGTTGGGTAGAGTGCTTGTCCTCTGTGCCGGTACCATGGACCCAGAGCCAGGCCCCCAGCTGCACGCTGCATGCCTGAGCCTCTGCTGAGCCTCCTTTTCTCGTAATCTGAGAATTTACGTGATACAATTTTGCTTTTTTAAAACGTGGAAAAACATCTAAATGGATTAGCTCCTTGCTTGCGGCATAGTAAGCTCTCAGTAAATGTTGTGGCATTGTTTCTGATGATGCTATACTTTGGAATAATCAATGATTAAATTATAACTAAAGGATAAACTCAACACAGTGCCTGGTACATAGTAGACCCTTAATAAAAATGTTCCCTCAGAGCCTTTCAGATCTTGTTCCCCAGCAAATGTCAGTTTGGCTTAAATAAACTCTTTTTTTTAAAAAAAAATATTTTTATTGTTGAAAATATTACAAATGTTCCCCTTCCTCCCCCCCACCTTTGCCCCCTTCCAGGCCCCTCCCCAGGCCATCACTGCTCGATTATCTGTTCATAGGTTAAGCATATATGCATATAAGTTCTTTTGGTTAATCTCCCTCCTGCCCCCTGCCCCCTGCCCCTTCCATCTAAAATTCATCAGTCTGTTGCATGCTTCAATGTCTCTGGATCTATTTTGTTTTCCAGTTTATTTTGTTCATTAGATTCCACATATAAGTGAGATATAAACTCTTATTTTACTCCTATTTTCAAATGCCCACTACACGCTTTCCCCCCTAGTTTTCGATGCAGACAGAGAGTAGATGGCTTCTGGGTAGAATAACTTCCTCAGATCCACCACTGGAAATACGAATAGCTGGGTTATTATACTTCTACGTGGCAAGGATGAGGGTTTAGAATTAGGTTCTTATGCTTTAAAATTGCTTTTCCTGATAGCACCTCTAAATGTGTGTATTACATTGCTTATCTGATTCTACAGATGCTGTTGACTGAGTACTTGGACATGAAAAATACTCGTACGGCCTCTGAACCATCAGCTCAATTGAGTTACGCCAGCACTGGACGGGAGTTCGCAGCCTTTTTTGCCAAGAAGAAACCTCAAAGGCCGAAAAATTCTCTTTTCAAGTAAGTATCTCCCTGTTGGTCATATAGCAGGTGTTAGGAAATGTTAGATCCAGACAGGACTTGCTACTTAATTGACAGCCATTACTTCACTCAGTTAAAGTTTTGAAATAATTTATAGGAAGTGAATGTATATTCAACTTTGTATACTTCAGTTTTTTGTAAGGGGAAGTGGTCATATTGGAATATGGTTACTGGACTATCTAGAACTTTAAAAATTTGCAGGAGTTTATTTTTGGGGAGTTTTATATATAATGAAGGAAAATTAAACTCTTAAGTTGTTTCTGAGGAATTTATATGAAATGAAATGTAATATTTCAGCCTTTGAAAAACCCCAAGTGCTAAGAAGCAACCTTTGTTAATAAAGTTATGTAAATCTGTCTAACTAAGTAGTATTGGGTTTTGTTTGATTTCATAAAGGTACAATCTGGACTTTTTTCCTTCTAATTCCTATCTTAGCAACAGCTAACAGTTATATTATTATTAACATTGATAATAATGACAACAATAACAGCTTCCGTTGATTGAGTGCTTACTATTGCCAGACACTCTGGCAGATAAGTTACTCCAAACAGTATCAAGCATAATTCAGGTTACATCAAACTTCAGCAGCTGGAGTACTGGCTAACACTTACTGAGTCATTACTGAGTGCTAGCCAAGGCATGAAGCCATTTTCATGGATTATCTTATTTACTCACTATGACCTTACAGGTGTGGATTCAATTTTTAATCCAATTTTACATGTAAAAACAGCAACAACAACAACAAACTGAAGCACAAGAGAGGTTAGGTAACTTATGTAAGTTTACCCAGCTAGCAAGTGCTAGAAGCAGTATTTAAATCTTGGTAGACCTATGTGTCCTTTTGAAGAGTTAATAGATATTTAAGAAGTTGTTTCTGTAAATCTAAGCATGTAAAGTGGCTACAGAAGTATGTGTTAGCGCAGTGTTTGGAATACTGGAAGCTCCAGTATTTTTTACTGATTCACTTTTGAGATTTGTTTTTTTTGGGGCAGGTTCTTTTCTCTTTTTTAGTCCTGAATGGAACCAGCAACCCTTCAGTGCACGGCGGGATGACCCTCCAACTGAACCACACTGGCCAGGGCTTTTTTGTTGTTGTTTTTTAAATTGTGGACTATAGAGTTCTTAATCATTAAGGAAAGTTTCAGCACTTCATTTATCTTGTGTCTACAGGAGAGAAGATTTACTCTTTTCACAGTGGAATAAAATCCATTCTGTTTATTGAGTGCATTTCTTTTTTTTTCTTTTTACAGTTTATTCAGAGGTTAGATGCAGTATCAATAAAAATGTTTACATCTGCAGGTGATGTAGAACCCCACATGAGCCACGAGTAGATTAAAGCAGGGGCAGTTATTATCTCACACAATAAGGATGAATGTAGAGGACTCCTTACCTCACCAGCACGGTGTCATCAAGGACTTGGCCCTTCCCATTTCTCTGCCTTTATTTCCACTCCAGTAAGAATGGTGATGCCAGGAAGTAGGCTGTGATTCTGCCTATAAATCTGTTTTTAATTAGTAGTCTTTATTGTTTATGGCAATTTTAGGTTTTTAGAAAAATGGAGCAGCCAGTGCACTGAGTTCCCTTATGTTCCCCTCTCCTGTAACCTCCTCTATCAACATCTTGCATGAATCTGGTACATCTGTTATACTTGATGAACCAATTTACACTAATAAAAGAGATAGATGCAAATTGACCATACCTTCACGACGCCCACCATCCAGTTAGGAGTGAGTATGCAAATTAACCTGCCATCTTTGTTGGGTTAATTTGCATATGCAGGCACCATGGTGATGACACAGGCGTTCCGCACTGCCCCAGCCGCTCCGGGCCTCTGGGCAGTGTGGGAAGGCGGGAAGGTGCCAGAACGAAGGCAGAAAGGTGGCCGGGCTAGAGCGAAGGTGGTGCTGGCAGCCAGGGCAAGGAAGGCCCATTCTTGTACGAATCCTCGTGTATCGGGCCTCTAGTATTTATATAATTATTAGCTGAAGTCCACTGTTTTCATTAGGGTTCACATTTTGTTTTCTACAGTTTTATGGGTTTTGAGAAATGTATCATGCTATAGATCACCATTACAGTCTCATACAAAATAGTTTCACTGCCCTAAACACCCCCCATTTTCCACTTGTTTATTCCTACTCCTTTTTTCCTGCTCCCTGAACCTTTTTATTGTCTCTTCCTTTGTCTTTTCCAGAATGCCTTTCATAGTTATAGTCATATAATATGTAGCCTTTTCAGGCTTCTTTTCCACTTAGCAATATGCATTTAAGGTCCTTTCATGTCTTTTGTAGCTCAGTAGATCTCTCTGTATCGCTGAATAATCCCATTGTGTGGATGTACCACCATTTTCCCATTCAACTATTGAAAGATACCTTGGTTGCTTCCATAAAGCTAACATAAGGACTCATGTGCAGGTTTTTGTGTCCCATATAAGTGTTGAGCTCATTTGGGTAAATACCCAGGAGCATATGGTAGACCACGTTTAACTAAGACACGGTCAAACTGCCTTCCCAAGTGGACCTGCCCCTTCAAATGCTTTTAAAATTAATTTAAATTATTGCTTATACATTCATTAATTTTTCCTGCCAGCGACAGATCCCCTCTGCATGTTTTCCTCAGGAGACTAGGACTGGGTCTCTGTCCATTCCTGAAGTAGTCCTGGGCAAGGGCAAGTAGACTGGGTGGTCATCTTAAACCAGTTAGGTTCACTCTGGGGACAGGTCTCAAGCTGGAGAGGGAGCCATTTTTCCTGAGCACAGGAAAGAGAACTGCTGAGAAGAGAGGAGGCAGGTAGCAGAACCCCCCAGTAGAACTGGAGCTGCGCCAGCAAGCAAGAAAGGCAGTGGAAGGAAAAGGTAGTGGATAGGGACACCGAGACTGCCTCAGATGCTGCCTGTTAGGCTCCTCCTCCTCTCCTGTCTCCCCTCTCCCAGCTCAACCCGCCACCTAAATGTAGGTGTTGTGCTGAAATCAGGTTTCAGGGTTTTTAGATTCATGCTCTCAACCGTCACCCCTGAGACCACACAGCCATTTTTAAACATTTAGCCAATCCTGAAATTGTGGTCCTGGAAAACATAAAATGTTGGAAATGAATAAATGACTGTGAATATTTGTCACATATTTATTATTATTGCATAGAAATAAAAATTATCACCCGCATAGGCCATTATCTCAGACCTGCCTTTCTTAGTCTGGGTTCCACCTTCGGTGGGCCCTGCGGTCCGGAGCAGATCTCCTGGCTTGAGGGCCTCGTGTCTGTGCTGCAAAATAAGGAGGTGAGACTAGGTTATCTCTAGAGCCCCTTTTACTGTAAAATTGTACCAATCTGTGACTTGTTGCAAACATAAAAGGATTCCCAAGGAATACATCAGGTCATGAGGATGAGGATTTTGGTGAGCTGTAACCTGTTTTTATCACATCCGTGAAGGACTTTATTGCTCCCTCTAATTGCCCCGAGCCAAGGTTAATTAAGTGTGTTTAAGTTCTCTCTTATTGTATAATGTGGGCCTCTCCATTCTTTGCTCAAGAGTTTATTTCTTTCCCTTGTCATTTCTGATCAATAGCTGTCAGCATGCTTTTCGGAGGCCAGCGGCTTCCTTTTTCTACTTGACTGGCAGGTGGTACTTTACTGCACACTGGGCCTTCCTTCTGGCTGTGAGTGTCCTCTTAGTTCTTGGCAGGGTGCAGAGAGAGGATCAAGCAGCCCAAGTGTCCCCCTCAGACTGACATTCAGCTTAGTGCGCCTCGTCCTTGTCAGAGGATGGATAAAGGAGGCAGAATTAAGGAAATGATGGCGCTCCCTCCTTGTGGCCAGGAGCCTATTCTGTAACTGCTGTTCTTCCATTGTGGTGCTGTTTACGCCTCAATGGCAGCAGTTCTTCCACGGATTTCTCCTGTCAGCCTGGTATTCTGCCTTTGAAGATACTGAGTTGGAAATGGAGCTACTTAACGGAGGATTTACTGTTTGATAGAGTCACAATTTTAACTGTTTCTTCCTTACCTGCAAGTTTCTCTTAAGATAGTGATTTTCATTTGTGTGGTGTTTGTTTTTTGTTTTTGCTATTTATTATATTAGATCTGTGTTCTCTATCGTGAGCCTTCCCCTCTGAAACAGTTCCGGAGAGGTGTGGCAAACACACGTCTGGAGCTTGGTATGTTCCAGAGCATTTCATGTGGCAGGTGCAGGTCAGAGCCTGGCAGCCCTCCCTTTCTTTTTTTTTTTTTTTTAAATATATTTTATTGATTTTTTATAGAGAGGAAGGGAGAGAGATAGAGAGTTAGAAACATCGATGAGAGAGAAACATCGATCAGCTGCCTCCTGCACACCTCCCACTGGGGATGTGCCCACAACCCAGGTACATGCCCTTGACCGGAATCGAACCTGGGACCTTTCAGTCCACAGGCCGACGCTCTATCCCCTGAGCCAAACCGGTTCTGGCACCTGGCAGCCCTTTCGAAGCTGTATTGTGTGTGAGGATTTAGCTGCCTTGCTTCTTTGGTGTAGCTCAGGGGTGGGGAACATCCGGCCCACGGGCCGTATAAGTCCCGTGAAATCATTTGGTCTGTCCCTGCCAAGGCATTAGGGGTGAGTTAATTAAATGTTTGGCCAAATTTAGCAAGCTAATTTTTAAGGCCATCATTTCGTATGGCCCGCGAATGATGTTATAAATGTCCAGACAGCCCTTGCAGAAAAAAGGTTCCCCACGTCTGAACCAGCAGCATTCCTAGCATGCCCATTGTCTAATCCTCTAACGGGGGACTTAGAATGGCATGATGTCTGCTCTGAGCATCCAGGACTTCTGTGTGACAGCTGGCAGCTACCGATAGCTTCTGAGCTGGACAGGCAAAGTTAGAATGACCTTATGAGCTACTCTTTGCTGTGTGTGTAGGGATCCTGGCAGAGGATCTGGAGACCAAAGAAAGTTGATCAGAGTTGTGCCATCTGAAGTGGAAAGTGGGCAGAAGATCCCAGTGCCATTGTGGAGGAGCGGTAGCCAGGAGCCCGTTCATAAATCCAGGTCTGTGCCAGCCCACGCCTGGCCTGTCGTGGCGTAGCCAGTGTGTCCTGGTGTGGCCCACTGGGGGCATCACAGACTAGAGGAGAGTACTTTGGAATCCGTAGCCCACATTGTCTGTTTGGTTACCACCTGACCATTGTTTCCCTGCGTTTCATGCAGGTTTGAATCGTCCTCCCACGCCATCAGCATGAGCGCCTACTTGCGAGAGCAGAGACGGGAGCTCTACAGTCGGAGTGGAGAACTCCAAGGTGGGTGATCAAATTTGGGGGGAAAAATTAGTTTTCTGGAGGAAGACCTGAAGTGTGCAGCGTGTGAAGTTCAGGTTTGAATTCACAGGATTCTTTCAAGGGGCAAGGGTTTAAAGACTTGATAACTTGCTTCTATCATTTCCCAGCATCTGTGGACAAGCGGCTAAAGCTATCACTGTGGCCACAGGACTTACACACCTGCCACCATTCAAGTGGGAGCTCAAAGCAAAAAGAGACACCATTAGTCTCTTCTGCTTAAAGATGGCAGATGTGAGTCCGGTCACAGTCCAGGGGAATGCCAGTCCGTGGCTGCCACTTTTGCTTAATGTTCTCAGTCCCTCCTGGAATATGTCAGGAGTATCTGAGATTTGGAAAAAGGCAAATTTGGCTTCTGTCATTATTTAAAGGGAGGAAGGATGCCTTTAAATAGTACGTTCCAAATAACATAACTTTGATACACAGGTTATTTGATACTCAGACGTGACTACTAAACAGTGCTGATCTGAAGAAAAAAATAAGTAAATTTAAGTAAATAACAAATCAGACCAATAGCATTTCCTTCTTTGACAAAAAGGACCTAATCATGGTAAGTGTAATCATTCCAGAAAGATCTGTGAGGGCCTGCCAAGTGCAGCACACCCTAGGCTTTGGAAGGGTTAGAGGTCAAGTGCAAGGAAAGAAAAGATAATGACTTGGGGTCCAGTTCTGAAACCAAGGCATGCATGTCAATAACAATATCAGAAAGTGAATGTTACCAACTGAGTAGATGGTAGGCATGTAATTGCTAGAGGAGATGAGGGAAGGGAATGATTATTGGAGCTATTTTAGAACTATGGGCTTTCTTATGATGGATGGATAAGACCACTTTCAGTTTCGATGCATTGGAGGCACTTGGGATATTTTGAGGTGACCAGCCTAGACAATTAAATATTTAGTTTTTAAGACTCACCATAGCTCTACATCAGCGGTTCTCAACCTGTGGGACGCGACCCCTTTGGGGGTCGAACGACCCTTTCACAGGGGTCACCTAAGACCATCAGAAAACACATATAATTACATATTGTTTTTGTGATTAATCACTATGCTTTAATTATGTTCAATTTGTAACAATGAAAATACATCCTGCATATCAGATATTTACATTACGAGTCATAACAGTAGCAAAATTACAGTTATGAAGTAGCAACAAAAATAATTTTATGGTTGGGGGTCACCACAACATGAGGAACTGTATTAAAGGATCGAGGCATTAGGAAGGTTGAGAACCACTGCTCTACATCAAAATGTTATGATGTAAACAGCCAGTCTTTCTGGATTTAAAGACTCTCGCCTCGTCATTCCTATGTTTACCTTTGTTATTAATATAAATGTCTATATATTTTTCTAGCGATCCTGCTGTGCTCTCCCATAGTTACATCAGAGTAATAATTCCAGAGCTCAAAGCCTAGAAATATGTTTGAGGACATCAGGAAAAGGAGATTAGCCTGCCAGCATTTTATTTAATATGAAAGTGTTGCTGTATGTGCTGGAAAACATGAGGTTGCATCTCGGAGTCTCCAATCACAGGAGCATGGAGAGTTAGCATTGGAGCACAGGAAGGAAAGACCCCTCTGATGGGACAGAGAGCGAAGGAGGATTGTGCCCCAGGCTGTGGCAGGCAGCGACCTCCCTGGGAGCATAGGGTGGACTGGCCGATCGGTTGGGAAGGACTGATAGAAACACAACACACATTTTTGTAGGACTGATTGGACTTAACTGCCACTTGGGGAGGGGGTAACTGATTATCTAAGGCTAGAGGTGTCTTCCATACTCACAGTGTCCTAATTTTAATTTCAGAGTTGGCTTAAGAAATAGTTCAAATTTACCTTCATAATTTCTTGCCCCCTGGCTTCTAGTACATAAAATTCCTTCAATGGTGACAAACAAAATCTTTCTTTTTTAGCATGAATCCTGATAATTCATTTTATTCTTTAGTAAGCTTAATATTTTAGAGCAATTTTAGATTCACAGCTTAATTGAGTAGAAAATTAGAAAATGCCGAGCTCTCCCTCCCGCCTCCCGTGCACGCACAGCCTCCCTGCCAGCACCTTCTGCTCCACCAGAGCCCTGCCTTCAACACGTAGACCACCAAGTGGTTACAGGCCAGCAGTGCAGCCTGTCACTCAACTCAGGCACAACTAGTGGACAAGGATAAACCACTGACACTGGATTCTTTCTTTTTTTTGTTAGATAGTGGGTAAGAATAGTAAGCACTCTGGGCCCTCGCCGTGTGGGATGATTTTCAATTGTGTCCCCCCACCTCCCTGGTCTCTTGAGAGAATAAGAGATCAGTGAGGACTAGAGGGTCTGGATCCAGATTGCCCACTTTTCAAATTTAGCTTCCCATTTACTAGCTTCGTAATCTCTGTACCTCTGTTTTCTCATCTCTAAATGGGCATAGAAATAATAGTACTTATCCACGAGGTTGTTGTGAAAGTTAGGTAAGTTAAGATGTGAATAGTGTTTACAAAGTGTAATTTTATAGTAAATGCTATGCCTGTCTCTTTTTCCTCAAGTATTATTGTAATTGCTAGTACTGTCTCTTCAGAGTTTTCATATGCATTCTGTTTGTCTCTTTGTCTTGCTAAATTCTCAGCTTTCCAACTTAAATTTAATTGTCACTTATACTGAAGAGCTCTCCTCTCCCTAATTTAACACAAACAGACACATACGCACACGGACACAAGTGTGTGCACATACATGTGCAAACACACATGAGCATATACTTGCGTGTGCGTGCACACGCGCGCGCGCACACACACACACACACACACACACTGAAGTTGTGGGCCCTGGTGTGTGCTCACATCCTTAATGTTCTCTTTCTGAGCACTTTCCACACTATGATGTGGATTAATGCTCACTCGTTGGAGTCTGCCACAAAACTATAAGCTCCACGGGGGAAATACTATTTTATTTCCTGTTCTTAGTACAGTGCCTGGTGTAGTAAATGTTCAGTAAATACTGGCTGACTCAGTGACAGGAGGAAAGAGGAAGCAGAGGTCTGAAGCAGGATAAAGAGCTTACTTTTGAGAGGTAGGAAGATGCCCAAAGGAGATGTAGAGGCTATATGTAGATTTTTGTTCTCTGAGGTTGTACACACCTTTACTAAATAGAAATGTTCCCCTTGAGTCTGGCCTAGGACAACACCGCTGTGTGTAATTGAAAAACATTTAAAAATCTAACTAAGTTACAGAGGAATTTCATTATGTAAGGATGGTTAATTGAAGAGTCACTATAATCTAACTAGGAACTTTCCCATCTTTCAAAACTTAATTGAAGTATGGAACTTCCAAGCAACAGTCCATTGTACTTTCCAGTGTTCAGCAAAATAGGAGGATTTATCTCTGGTTACAAGGGGAGATAGTAGTTAGCAAACATATCAAGCTCAACATAATCATTAAAAAGCAATTTTGCTGAGCTGACACATCACCTGCCTGGTGTGAGAATAGATCAGCTGACCAGTTTTTGTAAGGTTTGGTGGCATTCCATTCAGGAACAAAAGTTTCTCTACTGGATGCTTTTCACATTTCAGTAGGAAAATCACACCTATTTTCCATTAAAAACGGCCATCCTTTCAGTTATTCTATTACTCTGGTCCTTGGACCACCGTGAGATCTGCCTTTCAGCTGGTCCTCAAGAAGGGATAATGGAACAGTTCAGTCAGATCATTGGAGGGAGGCAGACGATCTTTGTCTCTTCTCAACGCCGTGGAGCTGCAGGCTTTGCCTCCTAGAGGTTTGGTTCATAGGGTCAAATTTCCTTCTGTTGCAGGCAAAGCAGTAAAAAAATCCACCAGAAAAGACCATCAAAGTAACATTAAAAATAGCTCCAATTTTACAGAAGTTAAGTTCCTGCCAACATTTTCAATTTATCATGCAATTAAAAATGTTACTCAGCAGCACACAGGGGGATAAAAGAATGGAAAAAGATGAGATTTCTTTGGTATCATCAGCCCATCTCAATTGGCTCTAACTGTTAGAGTACAGATGGTTCGTTATATAGTCTGCCCTTGGCAATTGGGCTGAGGAGGTGGGGATGCTATTTCAAAGCGTGTGTGATAACAGGTGGAAATCTAACTTGTGAGTCTGTGTCTACGTTAATCATAGACTTCCTGTTGTTTGGAGCCTCTCTACTGCTTCATTGTAGTGCTTAGACAGCCGTGTTGGTATTAGTTTTAATGAACATTTAGCTTGAGTGTAGCTTTTCAGGTTTAATGTGTGATTCACTGGGAGGATAAGATAACTGATGAACAAATTATCTAAAAAAAATAACAAAATATTGCCGCTCATGTCCAAAATAAGCTTTTAGACTATTTAGCACCACTGTGCCTCTGTTTTCTCATTTCAAAAATAGAGCTGATGCCTGGCTTGTGAGGCTAAGTGATCAGAGTGTTGGCCCACACTGAAGGGTCTGGGTTAGATTCCTGGTCAAGGGCATGTACTTGGCTTGCAGGTTCATTTCAGGCCCTGTCCTGGGCATGTAGGAGGCAACCAATCGATGACACATGGATATCTCTCTCTCTCTCTCCCCTACTCCCTCCTCCTCCTTTGCTTCTCCCTCCGTTTCTCCCTCGCTCGATCCCTTCCTTCCACTTTCTCTAAAAATCAGTGGGAAAAATATCCTCTGGTGAGGATTGACAACAACATAATAATAATCAAAAATAGAGTTGTTATTAGTTCTGATCACTTTAGGGGGATATTGTGACTATAAAATTAGATATTCAAACCCTGGAACAATTAGAATAGCTGTGATAGATTTAAATTAAAATGGTGCTTTAACAATGTATCATGTGGAACTAGAACTGTGCCGCTTCTTTGGCTCATTTTCTCCTCTCCCCAGTCTCACTGCTGCACTGAGTTGGGTTTCCTCAAGGCCACCCGTGGCCTCCATCTTGGCCGGGTCAGTGCTTGCTTTTCTGTGTTCATCTCACTTGATCTGTCAGCAGCTATTGTTTTTAT